GTTGGCGCTAGGATAGTGCTAGCCTGTCGTTAGGGATCTATCCATACAGCAGGTGGCTCGTGATATAGTTAATTATTGGTTCAGAGTATATGATAAGGCCGTGGCGGTATCCTGTCTTGCTTCAAAGTAACACTTCTATTCAACCTACGGCCTAAACATAGTTGTGCTGTAGATTAGTGGCATCATTCCTTTCCAACCGGTGCTTTAAATCCATCTGTATAATAGCTTACAAAGGCATCGGATCGTCACTCTCGAAGAGAGCATCGACCAGTCTTGCAAACGCAAATAACAGTTCGCCAGTTCCGATCTTCGAATTGCAAAGCTTATTGGTCGTACGCCGGTTTCGCGACAGTGCCTTGTGGGTGGTGCTGTTGAAGAGGTCGAAGCCAAATGGAAATGCAAGTAGCAACTGAAACAAAACTAAGGCGACAAAGATCTCTCGTAATATCACTCGATTTGCATATTGCTTGAAGAATTTTCTGTTTATACAAATAATACTACTCTTTTCATTCGCATAGGCATCAGGTATTACTGTCACCACAACTGAGCCAAAAAATATGGGATAACATGGGCAATCCACGCTAGGCGCGCTCTAGGTCCGTGCTTGCAGCGCGCTAGGGAATTTCTCGTCGCTGATGCCTAGCCCATCCATCTCATTTGCAGTAGTCTACCAAACTAGCTGGAGCGGGAGGAACAACTGGTGGGAGCTCTCAGCTCCTCGACCACCTTTCTCTTCCTGCAATTTGGCAGCTGCTTGGCAAGGTTCTGAAAGTGAGCCACCACTGCATTTCTGTCGCCTTGCTCGGGCAGTGGTCGATTCGCCACCAATCCCGGTGCTCAAATTGAGTGCGAATTCCTTTACTTGCGAGCTGGAGCTGGAAGAATTACTGGTGGGAGCTTTCATCTCCTGGACTACCTTTCTCTTTCTCCACTGCCTCATGCGCACTTTGGCCAAATCCGCAGATAGCATCAGAACGTCTGTTCGAAAGAAGAAATATCCTGAGAATTCGTGAAAAGTCCAAGGTCGTCAGCGCGCTTCATAAAATCATATTTGATTCTCAAATCTTTACTTCACGGGTCCGAAACTTTTTCCAATTATCAAGACTTGCCCTGAACCAGCATTCCAAGCACCACAGATGTGGCCCGCGCTAGCAACACTTCGCAGTTTTGCAATCGAGAAGTTCAAATATGGAGTTCTATAATGATATCGTTTCTTTCTTCCAAACGAGACGTCCCAAAACTACTGCCGCATTTAGGTCAACTCCAGGAACAATAATATTGAATAGCGCCCATATCCCAAAATCTTGCTATTAATTATTAAAATCCAAAAAGAAGTTTAAAAAATAAAAAAAAAAACACCATATAATAAAATTAATATTTCTAAAATTCCAGAAAATTACAAAAATTCCAAAAAATTTGGATTTTATATAATTTTTGAGATTTTTGCAATTTATTGAAATATTCATGATTGAAAATTTCTAGAAATTTTAATATTTTTGGGATTCGAAAATATAATCGACTTCTTGAAAATCTATAAAAGATTGGTCCAGGAGGCAGGACTAGTATATATATTTATATATAATCTAAGGCTTATTTTTTATATTAATCGGATTTAAGATATTGACATCTCGTAGAATAGGAGTAATATCAAAAAGAAAATAACGCATGAACCTAAATCGATATATAATTTTTCATCGAAAAAATAAGAAAAAAATTTATTATTAATAAGTATTTTTATTCGATTCGATTTTAATTTATAAAAGATTAGTATTCGATTATTAATAATTATGAATTAGAAAATATTCATTATAGAGATTCATCAGAATTTCCTAACCTTTTTTTTACCCCTAGAATTATTTTCCTTCTATCTTTAGAAATGAGCGTACTATCTTCCTAAAGAAATAGTATAATTTTTTTAATGATATAAATATATAATCCAAATGAGAAAAGAAAACTTCTTCTCTTCTCTAGAGAATAAGATTAATTTTCCCATCTTCTAATTCTATAAACCTAAAAATATTATCTTATTCATATTCCTACGTGCCCTTATCTATTTCTATATAAAAAAAATATTTTCTTGTCGTATAAATTATCCTAATGAAATTATAGATTATATTTTTATTTTCTTATAGAGAATATCATCTTATATATCCTCCCAATTTACGTCCCGAATTAAATAATTTATTATCATAATTCTATACTTAATATCTATATATTCTAAGTGAAGAAAAAGAAATCTCTCGTCCAAATCTCCTTATCTAAATCTTTATAATTCAGACCAATAATACGCACATCATATAACACATTCTTATTATCGATATTAGTTTTGCCAAACAAAATACAATAACTCAGATCAGTTTTCCGATCTAAGAACCAAATAAATTCAATTTAATTATCTTATTATTCATATGTTATTCATATATTCTTTTGTAAAATAATCATTATTATTCATTATCAAATCAAATCTCTTTATAATTTATTTATATCTCTCAAATTCATAATAAATCGCATAAAAATTGAATTTTCATCAAGAGTATCATTTCTATTATTTAAATATGAATATATATATATATACATATATGGCAATAGAGATTCTCAATATCATGATATAAACTTATTAATATAATTCAAAGCCCTCATCTCAAATTCATGCAACGATCTTATCTAAGCTGTGCAATCTCAAACCCACATCCCTGATCTCCGGCGATGATCCCCGGCGAGCCTAAACCCTGAACCCTGCAACCCTACACCCTACTACCTACAACCCTAAACCCTAAACCCTGAACCCTAAACCCTAAATCCTAACCCTAAACACTAAACCCCTAAACCCCTAAACCCCTAAACCCCAAACCCCTAAACCGCAATACCTACCCACATCCCTGATCTCCGGCGGGCAGATTTCTTCAAAGCCGCGGAGTTAGCGGCTTCCCGAAGTTGCTGCGCGAGCTGTGCTTGGGGCTGTACGTCGTCGGGCCCGGTGACTTCGCGCGGCTCCTTGGGTTCATTCGAGTTTGGGGTGTAGTGCTTAGGTTTTAAGGCAGATTCAGGGGCTTCAGGACTTCGGATTTTGGGGCTTCAAGCTGATTTGAAGGTATTCGAAGTGTTGTGCACCGTCAATCCGGGTTTGGGCTTGAGGTTTTAGCCCCTAAACTTTGACCTAAATGCAACAAACCTTTCACTCAACACCCTAAACCCTAAACCCTAAACCCTAAACCCTAAACCCTAAACCTAAACTGCTGTCTGGAGAAGCAGCCTCATCTCGCGAAATCGTCTAACCCATAGGCCCTAAGCCCTTCCCCTAAACCCTAAACCCTAAACCCTAAACCCTAAACCCTAAACCAAAACCGTGCTTCACCTACATTCGCAAGGAAATATACCCAGAGAGCCCAATACCCCGCAATTAAGGAATTCACCTTAAATTCTCAGGGGCTTAAGGTTTAGGGCTTAGGGTTTAGGGTTTAGGGTTTAGGGTTTAGGGTATTATGATTTAAACTTGTAAAGTATATTCCTTTACTGAAGGGTATTGGGCTCGCTGGGTACAGCGAGATTAATCAACAGGTTTCTGGACCACGAATTCGGTTTAGGCCATGCTGGGAGGGAGGCTCAAGCGACTTAGTACGTAACATATAGGTAAGGTTATCGCGAATCTCAGAGAGAGGCCGGATGGCCAAGGGGACCAGGCTAACAACATGCTGACATCAGCCCTGCAAAAAGCCAAGCAAAAAGCCCTCACTCTGTCACCCTTCACGACGAAATCCTGTGCTGATCCTGCTAGTACACATACCCGTTTGGGGTTTAGGGTGTAAGGTCAGGCAAACCCTCAACCCTAAACCGTAGAACCCCAGTTATAAACTACTTATGCAGTCTGCTTGAGTGAAAGTTCGGCACAAGAACTCTAAGGCTTCTTATTGAAGAGGTGTAGCATGCTTCCAACACTCTGCGGTTTAGGGTTTAATAGGTTTAGGGGTTTCGGTTGAGGGCTTAGGGTTTAGGGGTTTCGGTTGAGGGCTTAGGGTTTAGGGGTTTCGGTTGAGGGCTTCGGGTTTAGGGGTTTAGGTTGAGGGCTTCGGGGTGGTTTGGGGTTGAGGGTCTAGGGTCCTCATGGCAAACGCACATTCCAATCCATGATGGAACCCTAAACCCTAAACCTTAAACCCTAAACCCTGAACTCTGAACCTTAAACCCTATTATAAACCCTGAACCCCAACCCTAAACCCCTTCAGGAACTACCCTAAAACCTTCAACTGAAACAGCGCGCTTCGAGCCTAAATCCCCAGAAGCCCCCGTAAAACCTGAAGGAACTAGGGTTTAACGGTTCAGGGTTTGGGGTGTAGTGTAGGGTTTAGGGTTTAGGGTTTAGGGTTTAGGGTTTGGGGTGTAGTGTTTAGGGTTTAGAGTTCAGGTGTTTTTTTTGGACCCCTTTTTCCATCAGCCGAGATCCATTCCCCACAGACACAACAGACAGAAGGTTTAGGGTTTAGGGTTTAGGGTTTAGGGTTTAGGGTTAACAGACAGAAGGTCTTACGTTTAGGGTTTAGGGCATACAACCCCCCCCCCAAAGAGTCCCTTATTCACTGCGGCCACTGGCACGCCCGAAATTCGGCGTGCACGCTGCGCCAGCGAGTCGCCGTTGAGAACCGGGCACCTCAAGGGGTGTCTTTGAAGCGAACGGTTTAGCGTCTATAGGGTTTAGGGTTTGGGGTTTAGGGTTTGGGGTTTAGGGTTTAGGGTTCCTAGCTAGAATGTGCCGTAAAGGGCCAACTGTTTGTTGCTCGTTGGACACCTCAGCAAACTTTGCAGGGTAGATTCTGTAGACAGGCCCCGAAACCCTAAACCGATTATGTTATTGGACAACAAAAAGCAAGTAGTTAGCCAGACTCTGCTGTATATAGCATTCTCACTGTTCTGACGATTCTTCGTATTTCCACTTATTCAGTCGATAGTTCACCCAAACAGCAAACCCTTTCAAAACCCCTTCAGCCAAAAATCCTGAACCCTGCTGGTCCCACCTGGAATCTTCGGGCGGGGGCGCAAGTCGTAACTTCCCACCGACGGCGAAGCGCTGCGGCTCTCCTCCGAGAAGAAGATGCAGCGGTTTAGGGTTTAGGGTTGCAGAAGAGATGGAAGAAAAACAAAGCGCATGGGGGGGGGCCTTGAAACCCTAAACTCTAAACCCTAAACCGTGATAAGGGTTGCATAAAGGTTGTTCAAGGCTTCGAAAGGGGCGCTTAAGGTTGAATCGTTTTATGCACAGTCTGTTACACGAAACAGAAGAGGGTTTTGGGGGTACCATTAACTACAGCAAGAAGTCCTGAGGAACTACGACTAACAATCAGGCTTCTATGGTAGCAATGCATAGCAGACTCATCATCCCAGGATGGGATGGTATGTCGAAACTCTGGTACCGCGCCGGCCCACTCAGAAAAAGGCTCGCAAGCATCAGGTTTGTTCCTTCACATTACCCATTTTCTACCAAAACTCGTTATAGATGTTGAAACGAATGTGGTTGATACTTCTTCCTACACACTAAATCTAATGAAACTTTTCATCCACAATAAACATCAATAACCCCAAGACCCCCTAACCCTAACCGCAACC